GTACGGTCTTCTCTGCTAAAATGCTGTGCCGACTAGAAAAAATCAGCAGCAATTAGCAATCAACAAGGGCGCACCGGTAGGTAGAAATTGGAATTGGAATAAAGGAAGAAAGAAAGGGAGAACTGCACCAGCAGGTCATCGATAAATATCGGGCGCTTGTGTGTGTGTGTGTGCAGAAAATTCTATGCAAAGGAGGAGTGTGCTTTGCGGAAAAAAGAAAAGTGAGTGCCGCTGCTGTGTGACGTTATTGCTGCTGTGCCGTAAAGGTAAATAGAATGAAAGGGAGAAAGGGAGAAAAGGGAAAAGGGGAGGACATGCAAACGAGAAGGAAATAGCAACGGTGTCTAACCGAAACAGAAAGAGAGTGTTTGTTTGTGTGCTCCGGCATTCGGTTCGGTGTACAACAACAACAACAACACACAGACACAGTTTCTGTTTTCGATAAAGGTCACGGTCTGCTGTTGTGTGGTATTGGAGATCAATCGAAAACTGTGTGCTGGAAATGGGAACAAATCAGTGTCTCTCTGTCTGTGGTGACCACTTCTACCGGCGGTGACCTTCTACTTTCTCTTCCTCCTCTCCCGTGAATGTTCTTAGCAATATTTATAGCGTCGAGGAGCGTTGAGATCGGGCTAAAGCTGAAACTGTCAACGGCGAAGAGCAGATAGGGCACTGCACAGCACACAAATCGAAATACTAGAGACTGAATAGAGTAAACTGTCTGCTGGCACGAAAATGAATGAGGAGAGAGTGAGAGTGAGGACATGAAGTACACACACACTACTTCTCCTGATGATGAAGAATCGATCCAAACGTTGGGGTCTTGAAAGTGGGCAGAAAAAGAAGAAGAAGAAAAAGGCTATATTGTTGCAGAGGAAAAGGAGGAAGAAAGGAAAGGCCAATTCTTAATTGCCGTACGCTGATTCGACTGAAGCAAGCGGGAGCAGAAGTTCAGACAACTGTGACGATGCTGTTTCTCCGCCGTATTCTGCAGGCTAATCCGGCTAAATATATCAATATGTAAATGTAATAAGTGGGATACATGCCGCCGCCGTTTAATCTGTTCATGGCAATGATTTATGACCCACGCAAATCAATTAAGAAAGGCCAGGGAAAGAGCCGGGAATTTTCTGTACCACGGGTACAATGCTAGAAATAGAACAAAACTGCTGACTACCGAAAATAGAATCGTGCAAGTATTGCACCTTTAAACATACCTGATGATCCAGAGCGTTCTCCAAGTGTAAAGATCAGAGGACATCTTCAGAGGGGATCTATCTAAACAAGGAAAAAGTAAAAGAAAACAGTTAACTAGTGTCCACTAAGATGTTATCGAACAGCGCAAGAAAAGGAAGAATTACCTTGACCTTGTCTCATCAAATGCTCAGAGTCATCGTCGTTCCACCTAAAGATACGATAAGGAAACAAAACAGATCAGCCTGGAAAGATCCGCTTGGGGGCGCTCTTGCAGCCTTTTTTGGCGCCTGACAAAGGCAGCAGCAGCAGAAACGGCAACAATTGAGGATGCCTGACCACGTCAGAAAAGTTCGAAATGGGAACTCTGGTGAACTCTGGGAAGGCATCAAAAGGAGCGCACCAGAAGTCTTCTACAGTCACACTTTGCCCGCGGTGACAGCTGCTGCTCAAGCGAACTCTGCTGAACTCTGACACGTGTACCACCATCACCAATCGACGCTTTATCAGCTCATCTCTTACTCATAGTCGCCAGCCTTTCAGCGAGAGAGGCCGAATTACCCTCCTCCTCCTTGTCGCCGTCGGCGAGAGAAGCCTCGCATTTTAGAACCGATCTTGCCGTCAGCAGGTTAGGTTACCACCACCACCACCACTGGTCGACGGCCTTTTTTCTTAGCAGCAGAAACAGCAGCAGCGATCACCATCTTCAAACTGGCCGCAAACTCTTCTTTCTCAACACTTCTGAACACTCTTCTCACCTGTTCTTCGCCCTCTTCACCAGCACCTTCGCCGACCACGACCACGTCCGCCCGCCCGATGTCTCAGTACCTGCACCCGAAGAAGTGCTACTACGAGAATCTGCGCTGTCCGAGCTGCATCATGACCAATGCGGCGCAGATCTGCCGGTACCAGGGCATGCCCTGGGTGTCCTACAACAACGGCTCCTACCAGACCGACTACGACAGCGTCTACGAGGGCCTGAGCGCCGAGCTGGAGGACTTCTACCAGTTCATCCGCCCGAAGGCGGAGGACGACGCCCTGCGCAAGGCCACCTTCCTCTGCATCGCCAAGTCCATCAAGGCCAGCAAAAAGTTTGACATTGAAGCGGTGAGTAGCGAAGGAAAGCGGCGACTCGGTTAGGGTGACGTGGATCTCCGGATCAGTTTGTTGTTTCTATTTTGCTGCCGGTAGCAGCGGTGACGAGGGCTTTCTGTTTCTAAATGCCAGCGCTTACGTGGCCCAACTTCTTCCTCCTCCCTCCCTTGTGCAGGTACGGTACTACGGCAGCTTCAGCTCCAACACCTACCTCCCGGTGAGCGACATCGACATGGTGGTGATCGTGCCGAAGGAGAACAACGTGGTGGCGGTGCTCTTCGAGGTGGCCTACCTCCTCTTCATCGACGGCATCATCGAGAAGCACTGCAGCATCATTCCGCACTCGCGCATTCCCCTCCTCAAGTTCTACGACTGCATGACGGGCTTTCAGATTAACATCACCATCAACACGCCCAATGTGATGGAGCGCGCGGAGTACATTCGCCAGAGCTTCTTCCCCAAGGGCATCCGCCATGGCAACAAGGCCGCCTCTGCCCAGACCAGCGGCCAGTACGAGCTGAAGATTCTCTACTTCATGAAGTACTACCTGCTGTACCGCAACTCCAACCAGGTCTACTTCGGCGGCATCGGCTCCTACGCGCTCTCGCTGATGGTCCTGCGCTACTTCCAGGAGAAGGAGACCGTCGAGCTGATCAGCCGCGCCAACAATGGAACGGCAGCAACGGCGGCGACGGCTGCGGCAGAGCGCTCATCAACTCACACTGCCGACGACGGCGACGAAGGAGAGGGCGAGGGCGAGGGCGACGACGTCGGCAGCAGCGGCAGCAGCAGCAGCAGTGGAGGAATTGGCCAGTCCTCGCTGCTGGGCCGCCTGCTGATCGGCTTTCTCCAGCGGTACAGTGACGTCGATTTTATCAGCAAGGTGACCATTTCGGTGCGCGACGGCGGCGCCTACCGACCCTCGCCACCGGTGGTCGCCTCGCAGCCTCATTACCAGCTACACCATCACCATCAGCAGCAGCAGCAGCAGCTGATGAACATGAGCGGCGGCAGCAGCACCTTCAGCAGCGATGGCAGCAGCTCTGCAGCCGCTGATGTGCTGCCGCAGCAGCAGGTGGGCAACATCGGAGGAGGTGGAGTGAAGCATCCGGCCAGCCACTTTGCCGGCCACTACCTGAACAAGAAGTGCTCCGTGCTGCGCATTGAAGATCCGCGCGAGCCGTGGAAGAACGTCAGCGCCGGCAGCTTCAACTCCGACCTCATTCTCGCCGACTTTGGCCGCCTCCTGCAGGCGCTGCTGCACCCGAAGGAGGCCGGCGGCGGGCTGCACGGCCTCTACGAGGACGGCCAGAACCAGTGGTCGATCATCGCCAATGGGCTCACCGTGGTCGACAGCTTTGTCGAGTACCGTACCATTCTCAAGGACATTTATCGTGTAAGTGTGCTTTGATGAGTGGGTTGCTCTTCTGTTGATACTTTATCTTTTTGCCCCCGACAGTTCTGGTTCCCATCGGTGCCGAAGCAGTCGCCCTCTCAGTCGTCGCCGCGGCCGGTGAACGAGCTCTACGAGAGCTTCATCCAGCAGCGCAACATCTTTGGCCCGCGACACATTGAGTTCGAGTACAAGCGCCTGGAGGACAACACCGCCCAGCTGGTGCTGATGGACACGCAGGTGCCCGGGGTGCAGGGTCGGCCGCCGCCGCATCACTACCACCACCACCACCACCACAATCAGCAGCATCAGCAGCACCCGAATCATGGGCACGGGCACCACCACCACAACAATGCCCACCATCACCGCCAGCAGTATCAGCAGCAGCAGCAGCAGCAGCCGCAGAACTATCATCATCCGCTGAACAGCAACAGCAGCAGCTACAGTAGTGGCAGTGGTGGCGGCCACGATGGCAACGAGCAGTCCCAGCAGGGAGGCGGCAGCGGCTACGGCAAGCACCAGGCAAATGGCGGCGGCAACTACTACCACCACCACCACCACAACAACCACCAGCAGCAGCACTATATGAAGAAGAAGAAGTCCTGCTCGGTGCTACGCCTGGACACCGGCGGTGGTGGCGGCGGGGGCGGCAGTGCTGCTCCGCAGCAGTGGAACACCGCCCCCAGCAACACCAACAGCCGCAGCAGCGGCGGAGGCGGCGGCGGCAGCGCCCACAACAACAACAACGTGAGCGTCGTTGCCAACGGCGGCGGGGCCAGCAGCACCGGCAGCAGCTCTGACCGCAAGACGCGCGAACTGAAGAAGATACTGAAGATAGATTTTAACTGATCTCAACCAACCCACTGTTATCCCCCACACGTGATTAAACTCACACCATTTATCACCTCCAACAAAGCACACACACACACCCACCTACACAGGCAAAGGAAAGAGGAAAAGGAAAGGGATTCGATGATATTGGCCACACACTCAGGAGAGAGCAGAAATCACAATAATAAATGTACGCCATTACGTTTTACTTGCAGAGGAGGTGGTGGTGATTTTACAAGCGTTTCTCATTTGGTGGTCTGTGCTGTAAAAGGAAAAGGAAAAGAGGTGTGTGTGATAGCAATGAAATTAAAATAAAAAGGTTTGTTTGTGATCAAGAGAGAGAGAGAAAGAGAGAGATTAGAATAATAAGAGCTGAATTGGTGATGATCGGATAATAAGAATAAGGGAGTAATGAATAAGAGTGTGGTACTCTTCTAGGAGAAAGGTGATATAATCTGAGGGATGCAAACTTCTTCTTCTTCTTCTTCTACTCGATGTCGTTGGGCGCCGACTCGACCTCCTCCTCGGTGTAGATGTTCTCAGCCTGTAAACAGTGGTAAAGACAGATTAGTAAAGTCTGCAAATTAGCTCACCACCAAGCAAGTGCACTTACCATCTGCCAGCACTGCATGATGTTGTCCTCGGAGACGGAGCAGATCACCCAGGGGTCGTTGGGGTTCCAGGCAAAGTCGCTGATCTTGGCGGTGTGGCCGCCGTGGATGAAGAGCAGCTCCGGCGGGCCGTCCTCCGCGTCCTCCGACGTCTGGTCCTCGCCGATCTTGCTCAGGTCCCAGATGTTCAGGCGGCGGTCGGTGCCGCTGGAGGCGAGGATGGTCTCATTGTGGGGCGACCACTGCACCTGGAAGATCTCGTCCTTGTGGGAGTTGAAGGTGTGCAGCTTCACCTTCAGGTTGCGCAGGTCCCAGAGGGCGACGGTCTTGTCGGCGGAGCCGGTCGCCAGGATGTACTCGCTGAAGGGGTTGAAGGAGAGGCAGTTCACCTCGGCGCCGTGCGCCTCCACCACCTGGCTGGGGTGGCTGGTGTCGCGGCTGCGCGTGTCCCAGATCATCAGCTTCTGGTCGTCGGCCACCGAGCCGAAGATGGACTCGTGCAGCAGGTGCCAGGCGACGTCCTCGACGACGGCGGTGTGGCCGGTGAAGACGCTGCTCGCCTCGATCACCCGCTCCGGCCGCTGGGTGCCGTTGATGTCCCACAGGCAGATGGTCATGTCGTCGGAGGCAGAGAGGAGGTGCCCGTTCAGGTTGGCGTTCCACGACAGCCCGTAGCCCTCCTTCTGGTGGCCGCGGAGGCGCAGGTCGGGCGTGCAGACTATGTGAGGGAGGGAGAAGAAATGAGCGGTTAGAATGGGTGATTTTGCTTTGGCAATCAATCGAAGCCCTACCTTTGTCCACCGGCTTCACCGGGTGCTTGGTGTAGTCGAAGATGAGCACGTCACTGGAGGGCGTCTTCGTGGCGATGACGTTGGGGTTCTGGGGCATGTAGCGCGCCCGGTTCACCTCGCCCTCGTGATTGATCTTCTGGATGATTTCGATTTTGCCTGCATCAGGGATGGATGTTCATCAGGAATTAGAAACTGTAAACTGTTGTCTACATCCCATCTACTGCTTACCGGACACTGAAGCAAATCCGCCGTACTCGCCATTGTCAATGTCGTAGTAGCTGCCGTCGAAGGGGTAGTCGTCGTTGGGCAGCTGCACCGTGGCCACCACGAGGTGGTTCTGCTCGTCGGAGGTGTGCGTGCCGAGGATGATGCGGTGCAGGGCGAACTCCGCCTGCGGCCGCTGCACCTCGGGCAGCCACTGCGCGGTCAGCGAGGGCCACTCCAGCGCGTGGGTCATCACCAGGTCGTAGAGGAAGGGGGTGTTCTTCTTCCAGATCTTGTACTCGTCGTTGATGGCTCGCTCCTCCTGGGCTGTGGTGGGCGGAGTAGAAGAGAGGTGTGTTAGTTACCACCTCAAAATAGAACTGTCAACAGCAGCACTTACCGGCTTCATTCTTGCTGGCCGCAGTCTGGCCCTGCTGTCCTCCTCCGCCCCCCTGGGTCTGCTGCTGCTGTTGCACTGCTTCCACGGTGTTGGACATTTTTGGTGGTGATTGTGATGGTGTCAGGTGGTGAAGAAGGTGGTGAAGAAGAACTTCGTCACCGGAGATCAGAAGATGAAATGCCGCTCTTCAGCACTTTGAGAGTAGTGACAAACAAAGCAGCGGCGCTTACGAGAATCTGGTGGCTTTGAAAGCAGCAGCAGCGGCGGCGGCAGCACAACTTTGCGAGGCAAAAATCACCACAGCGCCAGCCCCTTCTGAGAGGACGTACGCCTGCCCGTTCTCTCTTCTACNCAAAGAAGAACCTCGACACCAGAGATCAGAAGATGAAATGCCGCTCTTCAGCACTTTGAGAGTAGTGACAAACAAAGCAGCGGCGCTAAGAGAATCTGGTGGCTTTGAAAGCAGCGGCGGCGGCGGCGGCAGCACAACTTTGCGAGGCAAAAATCACCACAGCGCCAGCCCCTTCTGAGAGGACGTACGCCTGCCCGTTCTCTCTTCTACGTGTTTAGCCTGCTTGTGCGCCTAAGAGAGAGCTGTGGCCGCCTGACCAGAGTTGGCTATCTCCTTCTCTATCTCTGCACTGCAGCAGTCTCCGTCTGAACACTGCAGAGACAGCAGCAGCAGCAGTCTCTCGCCTGACTTCACAGCTTCGTCGCCTTCTCTGAGGAGCTTCAAGTGAGTGGTGAGAGAGAGAGAGAGCATCCCAGAGAATAGTACGGCAGCAGCAGCCACGAGCAGTTTGTTGTTTGTGTCTGTCTTCTTGTTTACCACTGTTTTCTGCTTCTGCTTCTAATTCCCAAACCCTTCTTCTTCTTTGCCTACTTTCTCTAGTCCAGAACCTTAGCAAGAGAAATAGAACTTCACCACCACCACCACCACCACCACCTTCAACTCTACGTCACAACACTGTAGCAAGACTGTTGTACCAAGACTGTGGGCACACTTTGCCAGCACACACACACACTCATTTTACGCTACGTGTGTTCAGTGTGGTACAGCAGTGTTTGTGCACTGTTCATCGCCTTCTAAGCCTGTGACCTTCTCCTCCTCGAAGATGGCCTCTTCCTCCTCCTCCTCTCCAAAGCACGAGCCCGAGACGATGGGCGACAATGGCCACGGGAAGATCTCCTCCTCCTCGTCGAACGCCTCCGACTACGAGGTGATACCGAACAGCGAGTTCTACGGCCACCCCGTGCAGATCGTCAAAGTGACCGACGAGCGCAAGTTTGAGCTCGACGTGGAGGCCCTGGGGAACATCCTCCTGCGGGACTCCATCCGCGACACGCCCGTCGTCGTCGTCTCCATTGCGGGCGACTTTCGCAAAGGTAAGTCAGCCCGACGGACTTTTGTTTGTTAGAGCCTTTTGTTGTTTTTCTTTGCCTTACTACTGCAGCTACGGCACTAATCCTAACGCTGCACTGTACAAGATCATTTGTGAGTCTGTCTGCCTCTGTCTTTCTGCTGCTGCTGCTCTCTGACATTCTTGGCATAGATGTTGATGGCAAATGTCGGCGTCAGAGCAGCAGCAGCAGCTTTCCGTTACTGCTATATACTCCCCACCAGTGTGTGTGTTATGCTCTACTAGTTTATTTTCACTTCATCACCACCACCACTTGCCACCAGATCTTCTATTCTTCTTCTGTCTAGACACTTAATTTGCGCGCTCTCTCTCTCCCCATCAAATGATGATGATGATGACGATGACGGTGCTATTTTCTTCCCCTGCTCTCGTAGTTACCTCTAATCTGTCAAATTCTCCTTTCTTTCTGGTCCCCAACTCTCTCTTTCTCTGGCCTCAGGGACTGGTGAACCTAAAGGTGGAGGATATCTAATCCTCCTTCCCCTTCCCCCTCTTTGATGATGCCGATATTGTTTCGTCTTCCTCTCTCTCTTTCTCATAGCAGTCTCCTCTCCATCTCGTTCTCAGGCTCTCTGAGAGCACACTGTTGCGTCAGTGTGTACACGACAACTACGACTACGACGAGATGAGGACAACTGTACAGCAAAAGCAGCAGCAGCAGCTGCGTTGTAGTGTTGTAGTCTCTGCCACTGCTGCTGCTGCCCCATTTGATCAGACGACACATCACACACTCACACAAACACTGGCACCGGTTTTCACGACACTCGGTGTCCAGCAGCTAGCTAGCTAGCAAGCTCTCTCGAAGACTTTCCTCCTACAGAAAACTGGCCCCTTAGGGTAAATTCCCCCACAATCTAGGGAGACCTTTTTGCAGTGTTTGTGCAGACCAGCAGCAGGCCAATTTGTCAGCCTTCTGAAGTNGCAGCTGCGTTGTAGTGTTGTAGTCTCTGCCACTGCTGCTGCTGCCCCATTTGATCAGACGACACATCACACACTCACACAAACACTGGCACCGGTTTTCACGACACTCGGTGTCCAGCAGCTAGCTAGCTAGCAAGCTCTCTCGAAGACTTTCCTCCTACAGAAAACTGGCCCCTTAGGGTAAATTCCCCCACAATCTAGGGAGACCTTTTTGCAGTGTTTGTGCAGACCAGCAGCAGGCCAATTTGTCAGCCTTCTGAAGTAGTAGCAGCTGCTGCTGCCGCAGCTTCTGCTCTTTGTACTGACGGGTATCCTGTGCACCCAGGCACTACCACCTAGAGCGCCCGAGCCAACTCGCACATGATGCTAAGGGGTGGAGCCTATTGAAGTGCAGCCAACGTTACGTGCAGCATTTTGGTAACTTGTCGTTTCGTAGAAATATACCTGAATCATTCAAAACTGCACCCGCGCATACTGAAACACATTTTATTATCATCAGAAAAAAAGTTGTTTTTGATACAAATAAATGTTGCTCACAATATTTAGTTAGTAAAAGAAATTTTCTAGTTTTAATCCTGGGTGAGTTTGTCTAGAACAAATCAAAAGTGCTTAAATAAACCTAAACTTAATCCTAAAACTATTAGATAAGCTTATTTTCCATTTTGCCTAGTTTTTAAAGTTTGATAATGTTAAGGCAAGTTAAATTTTGTCTCTTTAGATCAGTTTTGAGCGTCGTCGACATCCGTCGACAAAAGTTCTGCGAGCGAAACGGGAAAAGAACGAAGTTTAGATTTATTTAGTGTTCATGATCTGTTGTAGCCAAACTTAACCAGTTTTTAACTAAAATTTTTTTGATTTCCTAAGTATTGTGTTCAACATTTATTTGTTCAAAAAAATTTGTGTCAAAAATTTTATTTTTCAGTACACGAGCTTACAATTTTACAATCGTTTCAGTTGCATTAAACAGTGCTTTGCACTGAAAGCAGGCTTCACTGCGATAGGCTCCACCCCTTAGCATCATGTGCGAGTTGGCTCGGGCGCTCTACTACCACCACTGCTCCTGCTCCTGCTGCTCTTTTCCCTCTGCCTAATCAGCAGTGAACCTGTCCACTGTGTAGTTATGTGTGTGCTTGTGTAGTTATCGACTGCTGCTGCTGCTTCAGCTCTTGATCGACTACTGCTGTTCTACTTAGCGCACAACACTCTTTACATTTACATTGCCCATTAACTCGTTTTCAGTAGGGTAGGTGCTGCTCACACTGCTGCTGCTGATGAGGATGATGATTGAATTTGCTGTTTCTCGCCGGCACTTGTTGCTCTGCTAATGAAGAGGAACTGCTGCTGCTGCTGTTGCTCGTGTGCTCGCGCTAAACTGTGGCCCAAATAGCTGTCGCCTAATTGCCCGGCTGATTAGTCACTGCTGCTGCCAAGTGTTTGAGTGTCTAAAGTGTGGCGATGACATAACACTCGAAGGCGGTGTATAGCACCGGAGTGTTTAGTTGATTGGCTAACACAACACACTAACTAGCAACAACAGCAGCCATGGCAGGAAATGGTTGTGAGTTGGCCAACAAAGCTGCAGAGATGGTGGTGGTGGAGCTGTGGTGCTGTGGTCTGCTGAGTGCGCAGTTGATTACTCGCAGATAGAGCGGCCATATACGCTAACACAGCAAGTGTAGACATCCTTGAAGTGTGGCCACCGCTGCTGCTGCTGCTCGTGACTTTAGCGTCTAATACTTTATAATGTCTCTTTTAAGGGGGGACACCGCGCACTTTTTGACTGTTTTTTAGAATTTTGA